TATAAAAAAAGGACGGTGAAACGATTAACAGTTGATAAAAAACTGTTTTGTTCACATAGCTATCGATATTCGATCAACGTGTTTTTTTCAGGCATATAGTACTCCACGAGTTCTATACATTGAACAGTTCAAATTATCAAAAAGGGATCCGTGGTGGGCCTCCACAGGCCTAACAGAACGATCTAGTCCGATCTTGGACTGGACCAAAACCACTGCCATTTAAATTTATGAAAGTCTTGTGAGGATCTTCTCAATCATTACTCAGAATTTATTAAAATTAAATTATATATAAAACATATGACGCGTTTATTAATTTTTGGAAAATGAATTGTGGCCCTAAAAACAGTAGCCCTAATGGCCCTAATTTCCTTTTTGGGATAAGTCTGTTTTTTTTTTTCTTTTTTTTTCTGCCTTGGTTTTTTTTTTTTTGCCTTATATGGAAATTTAGGGCCATTAGGACCACTAAATTTCGAGCTACCAACCAAAACCGTTAATTTTTTAAGACAACAGTAAACAAAGTCATATCAATTCATATTCTTTTTCTTTTTGCCTGGCCACTACTGTAATAATAACGATCATAATATATTTTTGTTATATTTTATTTGTTATGCGATGCGATGTATATTAATAATAAATATAATTGATAAAATCTATTAAAACTTTATTTTATTTTTTTGGACAAAGATTCATATTTTATTTTTGGTAGTCAAACGGAAATAAATTTATTTCAACAAATAATATTTTTTAACTTTTAGAGCATGAAAAATATTTTTTGAACTACAAACTTTTCAAGATCATCATACAAGCACCATCGCCGCTACTATTGTCACTATCACCACACTCATCACCACCATCCTGCTAGCTCCACCACAATTCTCGAGCCACCACTCTACCACCACCTCTCCAATATTACAATCATTAACATATTAGTTTTAAGATTACAATCAAATAATGAAAAAATAATTTTTATATAATTTTTTCTATAGCAGAAATCAATATAGAAAGTGACAAATGATATGAGAAATGTTATTTTTTCAATGGAAAATGTTTGGTGGCCATAAATTCTGTGGTTCAAATGGTTCGAAAATGTCAAAACGACGTCGTTTTGACATTTTCAAACTATTTAAATCACAAAATTTATGGCCACAAATCATTGCCCTTTTCCAATAAAAGAGTAATAATCACCATAAAGATATTTCCAATAAAATTGAAATGTCATGCTCTTAATGGTCCTGTTCATTCTCCACCTTTCAAGCCAGCATCATGTAACCAAACAATCTGTCTCTGTCTCTCTCTAGCAAGTTTTTCATGAGTTCTGCTGTATACTTACATATTCGCATACACAAAGTGCGTGTGACCACATCAAAAGGCTGTGACGCTCGTACTCACCTTTGCTCTCTCTCTCTCTCTCTCTCTCGCTCTCTCTCTCAGCAAAACTATATAAATTAACAAAATTCGTATAAAGTATTAATATTAATATTGATATTGATGTGAGATTTACTATATTATTAAGGTGTATTTCATTTTAATGAAACTTTTATTGTTAAGGGTGTTCGTAGTTCAGTTACAGTCTGAAAATTTCTAATTCGCCATTCGTTCGTTGGATGGGGGGATTGAAAAAAATTAATCCGCATCTGTCCGTTGAATTGATAGATGCGGATTGAGTGGATTAATGGATGGATGCGAATTGGTTTGGCAGTTTAAACTTTTACAAATTTTAAATATAATACAACAATTTGTCAATAATTTTTTTTGGGATAATAATTCAACTCAACATAATCAAAAGATTATCAAGTAAATTATCAAATACTAATAATAAATACCTATAAGACAATCATGTATTATCAAAACTATTTCATTACTTTTTTCTATTAAAAAACTATTTAATTTGATTTTTTTTTTAAATGATAAAATTAAGCTCTATATTTTCTACACAAAAATACTAAATATCAACTCTTATCATTTGATAAAAGGATTTCCAAATTAAAAACACAAAGTCTTACAAATTACTAGGGGTGCTCCCGATTTGGCAGTTTGGCTGCGGTCAAAGGAACCTCAAATTTGCCATCCGTCTAAAATTAGGCGGATTGGAACAAATCAATCCACAACCGTCCACTTGTCATCACGCATTCGTCCAAAACACGGAGGATTGGTTCGGTTCGATCGATTTGGACGGATCGGAATATGCGCTGCTCATCCCTATCCATTGTATGAGTTTTCTCACCATTCTTTGCCTTTTTATTTTTTAAAAAGTGACTCAAAATTATTTTCTATAAGCATTTATTATAGGAAAAATTTACGAAACATCCCTCTCTAATTTTGTGTAGTAGAAGAGGTCCAAGATATATATTTTTTTATTAGCTAAGGTCCCTCAACATCTTTATAGAGAAAATTTGACTTAAAAAAATTTTGCCCGACTTAGAAAAATTTCATCCGACTCAGAGAAATTTCGGCCCCGAATTAGAGAAATTTCAAAATTTCTCTGTGAAATCAGAGAAATTTTTCTAAGTCGAATTTTTTATATAGAAATGTTGAAGGATCTTAAATATTATAAAAATATTATATATTATTTATCTTATAAAATCTTAATATCATAAATTTTTTTAAAAATTCTCATGTATTATATCTTTCACAAGTTCATTTATTTTTGGTATTATTAATAAATGTTTTTTAACCAAAGGGTACCCCATTAGTCAATAATTCAATTAACTTAAACTCTTCTCATTTGGATGACAGTGTTTTTCCTATATGCATGTGTCATAAAAATGTATATTTATCTTAAATTTTATTAACTAGTATTTTTAGAATACTCATCAACAAACCCAATTACTAGAGCAACTCAAATGCTATTTTTTATTTTTCATCAAATAAATGATAAAAATTGTATACTCCTTATTTTACCTAACTTTTCATCTATGTACTCTAATACTTCTACATATTTATCCACACAATTTAGATTGAAAAGCCTTCTAAAACTCTCTAAATATAGTTAACCTGGAACGGTATTTTTAAAATAGCTATTGCAATAGTTAGTTTGTTGAAGAGAATAAAAAATAATGAGATTAACTATAACAGCTAACATACTTGTTTTAAAGAGTCTGTAAAGCATGCTCTAATATAATAAATTTACATAGGCCTCGTTTGGATAGTTGGTTGGAGTTAAATTAATTTACTAAAAGACAAAATATGTTAATTTACTAATAAAATAAAATATCACATTTAAATTATAATTATTTTTTTCACAACTATCACATCCAAATCAAAAAAGTTAAAAATCTATCTCAAACAAAAATTTTAATTAGACTAAATCAGCCAAAAAATTAAAGATGAAACTAAATTAATTAATCTCAAACGAAAGCTAACTAATGTATCAAAGAAATGTTATGTATTCCAAATATTCTATTAAATATTCTACCAAATCACTCATACAAATCTACATGTATGTGAATCCTACACTCACGTGAGAAGTTTAATAAAATATTTGATAGAATATTTAAAATCCTTAAGATAACTCAATGTACCATTACCTCTTACACAATTGGTAGGTCCACATTTAGGCCCCGTTTGGAGACTTATTTTTTTAGCCAATTAGTCAAAAAGTTACTAAATTAGCTAAAAAGTCAACAACTCATACAAAAAAGTCAAAGATTCTCTTTTCTCTCTGAGTTGTGCAGCCGTAATTGTTGACTTTTGGTGAATAGTGTTAACTTTTTAGCTTTTTGAGTAACTTTTTGACTTTTTGGCTTTTTTGGATCTTCCCAAACTTGCCCTAAATATTCTACCAAATCACTCATACAAATCTACATGTGTGTGAATCCTACACTCACGTGAGAAGTTTAATAAAATATTTGATAGAATATTTAAAATCCTTAAGATAACTCAATGTACCATTACCTCTTACACAATTGGTAGGTCCACATTTATTATTATTATGTGCATATATAAGAAGAAATTCTGTCTCATGAATACATACATATAGGTATATTAAAAACTTTTCTTTTTATAAAAGGTAATGTTATTCTATACCTAAAATTTATTATATAGTTAATATCTATAGCACATGGTCCATTATTTTAACAATTGGATTAAGCAAGTAAATTACTAATAAACCCATGCAGAGCAGATAAGCCCAAACCAATCCACACCGGCGAGAGGGTGCGCACTACACCAATGAACCTTCTCGGAAACAAGAGACCCCATATTAGGAAAGATAATAACAAAATTCATGGTAAGGGCTACCGCCAAAATTTAAGATGAGTAATGTTAGATTTTATGGGAAAAAAAATATAATGAAAATTCTCAATTATTTGATTACACATATAATAAAGAATAATGTTATTTATGATAAAAAATTAAATTTAATAATATGATAATTAATTAAAATTTTTAAAATAATATTCTCTGATATCTTCTCTAATGATCCACTACAGAAATTAATATAAAAAATAAATTTATATGCCATTTTCCTATAATTAAATATCACAAACTAATAAAAAATAGAAATCTTCATAAAACTTTTAATTTTGTGAGAATTACACGTCAGTGGGAGAAGATGAAAAAAAATAATTAATACAGGATATAAGTGATACTTACGTCCCATAACTTTTTATTTATACCCCACTTGAGTTTACAAATACACTTATATCATCATATATTAGTAAATTCCTTCTTTTATTTTATTATTGAATCCTAGCAAAATTTAAGATAAATAAAATGTTATAGATCTTAAATTTTCTACTATATAAAGGACTTTTTTTAATTGTGCAACTTACATCTTATACTTACGCCTTTCTATTTACTGTCATATTTTATGTTTACACCTTCCACTTACACCCTTTATGTTGGTTGCATGCAAATAACAGCACCCCTATATAAATTATCAAATATCTCACAAGATATGAATCTCATTGTCTTGTAGATCTCACACACTCAGACATTTAGTCATTAATTTGATAAGAAATTTGACATTAATAGCATTACTTTTAAGATAATGAGGAGAGAAAGAGATTGAGAGAGCGAGCGCTGATGAGGAGAGAGAAAGAGAGTGAGGGAGGTAGGGAGGTGAATGAAAACTTCCTAACGGAACACCACTACCAGTGCAGCTGTTTTTTTTTTTAATTCTATATTTTGTATGTATGTATGTATACAAGTATGTATATGCGTATACATATAATTGTGACAAATTAATGTTTTAGAGTTCAAAAAGCTTTCTCAAATCTGTTTTCTCCATATGAACTTGTTAATTTTTCTGTTTTTCTACTGGTTCTATTTGTTTCGGATCTCGGAAATAGCATTTTCTTGTGAATTTTCCTTCGTTTTCTTGCTATCCATCAATGGTGATGGAAGATAACGAGAGCTGTGGTAGCCGGGTGGTGGATTCGTTACAAGCGAACTCTAGGCAGCAGAGAAGGAACCTTGAGGTATACAATGAGGTCCTCCGTAGGCTCAAAGAATCAAATAACCCCGAGGCTATAGAACCTGGTTTCGACGATGAACTCTGGGCTCACTTCAATCGCCTTCCCACTCGGTACCTTTACTTTTCCCCTCACTCAATCTCTCTGTTACATTTTGTGTATAATCATCTATTTTTATGTGTTTATTTGTGATATATTTGAATAATTGTTTGATTTTGAGTGTCTTAGTTCAACTTAGTTGCATACTTGCATGTATATATGCTTTATATGTGTTTATTTGCTTAGTTTTGTCTTATTTTCGTTATCGAGATCTTGAATATGTTCTGCGTTGATTAGTTTTTGGATTTTCTGGTGTTAAAAGCTTTTTCTCTCTTTAATTGTCTTTGTCTGCTCAGTTTTTGCTTGTCGAGAGTTCATTTAAATGTTGTTTAGTACATCAATCTCATCTGAGCTTAGCGTTGACTGTGGAGTCTTTATGATCCTAGCAGATTGCAATGTAGGGATGACTTACCACAATGAATTTTATGTTAATTGTAACGAGTAATTGTTGGAAAACGGCAACTTTAATTCAAAATTAAGTGAGACCCAAACGCTGATTGAGGTGGGTTTGAATGGTTTTGTATTCTCTTAAGTGAGAAAGTTGCAATACAAAAATAATGAGTCAAAATTATTAAATTGTGAATGAGAATTGTCTCATAAATTGGGCATCAATAGAAGTTGGGCTTGACCCTAGACTTGGACTTAGTCTTAGTTAGTCTTGGTCTTGGTCTTGGTCTTGGTTTGGACTGGCCTAGGCTTTTGTATGTGCATGTATTAGACTTAGTCTTGGGCATGTGCTAGATTGTGTTATGCTGGGCTTGTCTTGTGCATATGTTTTAGATTAGGTTTGGATTGAGTTGTGATCCAACACCAGTGTCCATTTTGCGACCTATCTAATTGAATTATTTAAATAGCATATTATATATTATATATATATAATGTAAGGGAGGTTTTCAACCTTTATAACTCTTATCTTTTGAAGATGGAGTTGATGATCATATTATGCACATGGGAGTTTTACACCTTTGTAACTTTAGTCCTTATAGCTAGAGTTGATGGTCATTGATGCTAAGTTTTATAGTAGCCTTCATGGCTAAGACCCCTTCCCTACAAGTATAAAAATGACATTTCCCCTCCAATTTAGATAGATGAGATAGAAATATTTTTGAGACGAAAAATTAGTGATTTTCTTTAGATAAAGTTGAAGAAGATTTTTATACCAAAGAAAATTTTCTATTTTCTTTGTGCTAGCCTCTTCTTTGGTTCTTATTAGAGAGAGGGTGTTGCCACTGTCAAGTTTGCCGAGGCTATTCAGAAGGTGCTTCTGTAATAGCTGGTTTCGACCGTCGTATCCTGAGAGACAGACGTCTGCATACCTCTAGCGCCCATCGGGAGGCAGTGATCTGTTTTAAGGAAACTATAATATCACACAAGTTTCGGTTTGCATCTCTTATCTTTTATTCTTCAAACTTTTAGATTTGAATTATTTCTTGCATATCATTTTGTATGTTCATGGGAATCCATCTTGTAATATGTTCTATGATGTAATCTAATTTATTTATATATTTTTACTTGTGTAGTTTATGATGTATTTCATTCTTTAATAAATAAATAAATAAATAATTGTTTTGTTATTTCTATTTATTTTATTTTATATATTTTTCTTATATTATTATGGGAAAATGCCAACCTTTATTACTTGAATTTAATGTTATTTGTGAAAACATTTGATTGTTTTTGTTGAAGTTTTTGATCTCCTCCATTGTAGGTATGCACTTGATGTGAATGTGGAGAGGGCAGAAGATGTTCTCATGCATAAGCGTTTACTACAACTAGCTCATGATCCTGCTAATAGACCTGCAATTGAAATTCGGATGGTGCAGGTAAGTTAATTTGCTTGGCATTGTAATGGCATCGGGTTCATTACTGTAGAGATAACTGAAACTGAATAAAATTGCTTGTATTCTTTTGCATTCCATCATTCTGATTTTTTTTTTTTTTTTGGGATTAATATTCCATCATTCTGAATCTGTAAGTGTTTTACAGTGCTTAGCAGCTATTGACAATTATGATATAAAAATTATGTACAATTACTGCAATATTTCTGCAGTATTTTATTCAACAAATTTTATGTTAGAGTTCCCTTATCCTTGTTCTATCATCCCTTGTTCTTTGGTTCTTGCCAATCATCATCTTGAGATACGTTTACAATTACCTATGGCATACCTTGACGTCTCTTGTGTCCTTCTCGACCAGTCATTAGGAGTAATTTGTTGTACAATGTCTGTCTAGCTTCACTTGGGGTGTTAGGCGTCTATAATGCTGGTGCAACATTATCTTAATGGATTGTATATTGGAAACCAATATCAGTTGTGAATTGTTTGTCGACAAGCAGTTGAAAATTGCTAGTAATGAGTTAATGGTATATTAGCAATAGTCTAATCAAATTCAAACACTTGAAACAACAGTCTAGTCAATTCTTCTAATGACACAAGATAGCCTAGTATTTTTGTATTTTGGGGCTGTTTTGTAAGGAAAAAGTAGTGGATTTGGAGGTGGAATCAAGGAGAAATGCTAGGTTTTGTAAACAAATAGATGTCAGGACTCATTCAAACCTAGGGATGGAATCATAGAAATAAGGAGAATAATGCTAGGTTTATCGCTTTAGGATATTAAAATCATTACAATATCATAAACCATATACTAGATTCAATTACATTAGTCTGAGCTGTATGGCGTTTTAAATTATCCCTTAAAACCTCAAACACAGATCTAGGATTGATTTGCTTGGATTCTGGTGTAATTTTGTTTGGTCACTGTTTCAATCTGAGTGATGTATATATCAAGAATTCTCTTTTATGATTTTCAGGTTATTCCCTCCAATTTGTGTGTATATATTCAGCGTTTGTCCAACTGCTCCATATTTTTTTAATTTCCATGTTCTAGAGCATTGCATTGTATCAAGAATGAAACATGACCCTTGCTTTCCATGATTTTCCACAGTTTTTTTTATAGGAGTTTTTATTAGAATAGTTGGTCTAAATTTTGTTGCTTGATGGAATGCATTTTGTCTATCACTGTCACATGCAGGTTTCTCCCATCTCTGATCATTTTAGCTCTCCCAGGGACGAAGGTGCCCAAAGGTTCATTCCTAAGCTGCCACCTGCCTTTGGTTCATCTCCTAATCTTGAATCCCTTGCACTTGAAGCAAACAAATCTCAAGTTCAAGATGGGGATAGTGTTGTTTCCCATGTACAGTCCTCCCGGTAAATATTGCTGAAATTCACTAAATGCTTCATTTTGGCCCCAATTTTTGATATTTTCTGGACATCTTTGGTGGCTCTGTAAGAGTTCAAAGCATTTCACATGGATTTTTATGGAACAATTGCTACACTGATTTCATTATTTTGCATTATGTAGTTTATACTTTAATGTGATTTTGACAATCATGCAGGCCCATGCATGAAATTACATTTTCAACGGATGACAAGCCAAAGCTCCTCAGTCAGGTAGTTTGCATGTTTGCTTATTTTAGTACAATATTTAAAGAACAAAAAAGTAAACTCCTTTTGATAATATCATATAGTGCCTCCACCACACGATCACTGAGTAGTAGAATTCTGCAGCTGACTGCCTTACTAGGCGAGGTTGGGCTGAACATCCAGGAAGCACATGTTTTTTCTACTGTAGACGGGTACTCCTTGGATGTCTTTGTTGTTGATGGTTGGCCCTATGAGGTATTTTCTTTTCATATTTTTTTATCCAGTTATGTAGTAGAATGCTTATATTCTTATGGCAAACAGATCAAGCTACTTTGTGTTTACTATATTTTGGAGTTCTGTTTCTTTTTTTTTCAGCTTATGTGTCATCAAGATCTTTGAACTCAGATGTTGATTTCTGCATTTTCACCCATGTTAGAATGCCGAATTGTTCATTCAATTTTTTGTATTTTATGTTGTCCTTTTCTGTACAATTGGTGATAGTAATTTTTTTGACTTTGAAAATATAGTGTTAGGACTTGAGAGTGTAGTTTAGAGTCATTTTTTAAACTTGGCAAATCTGAAGAACCCTGAGAAATAAAAATTTAAAATTATAATGCTCAAGTTTGATATTTTGTTTACCCTTTCTTGTGTTTCTATTCGCCAGAAATGTTTTGACTGATTTATTTGTCTATTTTTAGGAAACCAAGCAGCTCCAAACTGCATTAAAAAAGGAATTCTTGAAGATCGAGGTACTTCCCTGATATTTCTTTTACAATATTGTGTCTGTAATTTATTTATCAAAAAAATATATATATATTGTGTCTGTAATTTGTGCTTGAGATACGGGAAACTTGTATTATGTGATAGAGCATCAGTAAAAAAAAAAAAAATTATTCTTCTTTTTAAAAAAAATAAAATAATTTCAGCTCAGGCAATTGTTATGAGAATATTTGGTATTGGTTTGGTCGGTATATCTTGAATCGATCCTTAGGCTTGGTGGGTTGTTTTTAATTATTTCACTATTTGTGATGGTGATTCCTTTCTAGAGTTGTAGTTTGAATGATCTGTTTATATTGACTCCATCTTTACATTGGAAGCAGAAATTGTATTTTGGACTTAGTTAAAGCAGTTACACATTACTATTAGTATAACATTGAGAGTTAAGACGAGCTTGTGCGCACTTTTCTTTTTCTTTTTTAGTAATTGGGTGGGACTTGGGGCATATTGATTGCAAATTGGTGGCGAACTATAGTTTAGAAGTAAAACTATTTCTTCTGTGTCACTTGATTGCTGGATTCTTTGGCTGCTTGAGTTGTGAAATTACATAGCTAACTTTACAAATGGAATCTGTAAATAGCTATAATCATGGTAGAAATTCTTCCTCAATATACTCTAAATATGCTTTGAATGTGCTTTCCTGCTCTATGCTAGTCTTTGATAGTCAGTAATAAATTGATTCTTAACTAGGCATTTTGAGTTGCTATGCAGAAGCAGTGTTGGCCAAACTGTCATCTGTCTTCTCCTACAGCTGAGCAGGAGCAGACAGGGATCAAACGTGAACCTGATCATTTGACAATACCTAATGATGGGACTGATGTCTGGGAAATTGATCCTCAACTTCTGAACTTTGAGATAAAAATTGCATCAGGGTCATATGGTGATTTGTAAGTTTATCATTTCTTAGATAGTTGATTTGATTGTGATTTGTGTGTTCAATTAGCTGAATTTTTTTAATAACGCAGATACAAAGGTACATACTGTGGTCAGGAAGTAGCTGTCAAAGTCCTCAAGCCCGGGCGTGTAGATTCAGACTTGCAGAAGGAGTTTGCCCAAGAAGTATTTATTATGAGGTTTGCCAAATTCTTACCTTTTGAATGAGTGTAGGGTTCTAGTATTGTATTTAGGGAAATTTAGTTAAAACCCATGCATTGGACCCTTATTTGGTGAAAAAGACAGCCCAATTTATTTTGCTTTATAAACTCCCTAAGGAGAAAACACATAATTGAGTAAGGATAAAGTAAAATATATATATATATATATTTTCTTAGACAATATTGTCAAAATAACATGTTACTGTTAAACAGAGTAATATGTTACTGTGAGACAGAGTAATGTTACTGTTACTGTTTACATTAATTTCAATGGTAATTTTTTTTTTTTTTTTAAGAATTTCATAGTCAATATCGATTTTTTTTTGATAGATCTTAATGAGAGGATTCTAAAAATACTAATTTTATTCAAAACCAACATCTATATCAAAAGTTATATTATTTTAAAGTTTGATATTTTGGTAATAGTAGTGTGTGTTGGACTTTTCAAGAAATTTTTTTTGTGTTTGTCCTTAATGTATTAAAGGTTCATTATGAGGGGGGCTTTGACCAAATCCTCTTGTATTTATCCAGTGTTCATGATGTGCTTGTTTCATTGTCATTTCTTTAATAAAATATCTGAGTTAGGATGAATTTGACAAATCATTTTTCTGCAGCTTCTAGCTGCACTGTTCAGCATTCTTTTGCTTTCATTCTTTTCCCAGGCTATGATAAAATGTGTCAGTTTTTATTTATATTGTGAAGACTTTTGTTGACTCTTCTTCTTGTTATAAACTCATTATATATTTCTATGAAGCTTATGGTAGTTTATTGTCAACTATGGTGTCAGTCATAATAAATTTGTGATGTCATGTGCTGAAGCAGTAGTCCATATTTTGTTTGTCGGACTTGTTTTTCTTGTCAGATGTGCCAAAAATGTATTTATTTTTGGGTATTATATGTGCCAAAAATTGGTTTCTGTCTTAGCTGTTGATCATTATCCTGCCTTCGTCAGTCTGTGCACCATGACAACATTATAAAGTTACTGATTTTGATATTACTAAGTTTGAATTATATTGATCGAGTTATCATCCTTTTCAACTTAATGTTGGTGATGTTATGTGCTTCACTCTCTAGTTTAGTTCTTGTAAATATTCCTCTTTTCACTTTCAGGAAAGTTCGACACAAGAATGTTGTACAATTCATAGGCGCATGCACCAAACCTCCAAGCTTGTGCATTGTAACTGGTATATCCTAAATTTTCATTTTTTTTTTCCTTTTCCTCTTTTGGAGTATTTTCTTATTGTTAACTCACTATTAGTTACTTCTTCTTCTTCTTCTTCTTCTTCTTCTTCTTCTTCTTCTTTTTTTGTTATTTTTGTTTTTTGTTTTTGTTTTTCTTGTGCAGAATTTATGTCTGGTGGAAGTGTGTATGACTATCTCCACAAACAAAGGGGTACTTTTAAACTACCATCTTTACTAAGAGTAGCAATTGATATATCAAAGGGTATGAACTACCTACACCAAAATAATATAATTCACAGAGACTTGAAAGCTGCCAATCTTCTGATGGATGAAAATGAAGTAAGATGTTTTCTTTGTTTGTATTCTTAAAACTGTGAACTTAGTTTGCTATGCTGTGTTCTTCTTTTCTCGGGGAACTGATTCTCCATCCCTTAAAACTCATTTATATTACAATGTGTAAAATGTTTCCATTTTTTTCACTCCCAAAAGATGTGAATAGTGTCTCACTTGGATATTCTGAAATGTATAGTGGGTATAGATGCAGAATAATTTCATTTCCTGAACATTGAATGCCTAGATGATTTTCCCTTTTGAATTTTTTAGCCTTGTGCATTTTCTTGGAGTCTTCTAAGTTCTATTGCTCTGAACATTGAGGCATTCATGTCGAAATTGATAAAGATAATAAGTTTGAGCAGTGTTTAGAAAATTTGTATATAATGCTTTGTGTCACAGGTTGTTAAGGTGGCTGATTTTGGAGTTGCTAGAGTGAAAGCTCAAACTGGAGTTATGACGGCAGAAACCGGGACATATCGATGGATGGCTCCTGAGGTGGGAAAAGTTTTGGAACCTTTTCTGTTCAAAATTGGTTATATGTTTTGTTACTGATATCTTCCCTCTCTGATCAAGATAGCAGAAATTAAATTATGTATGTGACTCTAGATGTTATAATTGTTTCATTTGTATGATTTTGATTATAGCTATGATTGGGACACGGATGCCATTTACTTAGCATTTACTTTGCCTAGGCTTCAAGGTCTGATTTTTAATCAGGTCACTCCAAGTATATATTTTAGTAAAATCTGGTTGTTAGCTGGCTGTGATGTCCCTATAGGGTAAATAATAGCGAAGGGAGGAAAAGAAAGAACATACTTCCAACACGAATCTGTTTCAGCTCTCTCTCTCTCTCTCTCACTCACACTCACACTCACACACACACACACACACACACACACACACACACACACGCGCGCGCGCGCGCACGAACACGCTGAATTGTTTGGTGATTTAATATGGGCAATGATTTATGTCCAATATAAAGTGGCTGGATCTGTAGGCTTTGTTGGGTTGTTATAGGGTGGCCACATTGGCGCTTGAGTTTGGAAAAATCTAAGAAAAGAGTTATGAAGCAGTAGTGAAGACATAAACATAATTTAGTAGCCAAATAAAATCCATCATTTGCTTGCTACTTTTTCTTTACAAAAATGTTAGGCAGTCCAAATATTCTATAAAAAATGCTACCAAACTCTCGCATGGGTGTGGGTCCCACACCCATGTGAGTTTTGGTAGATTATTTTGTATGTTTATCATTACTCTTTTCTTTAATGTGAATGGGTAATGAAAGTAATTACTTCATCTGTCTGGTAGTTATGCATTTTTATTGCGGGATTGATTTTTTTGGGTATTTGCTTATGATTGTTCTTTTGCATTGAAGGTTATAGAACACAGGCCCTATGATCACAAGGCTGATATTTTTAGCTTCGGGATTGTATTGTGGGAGTTGCTAACCGGAAAGGTATATTGTTTTGTGCGACAACCATTGGATTTTTGTATTTCAAGCTGTTTGTATAGTTATATTCTTTCATATTTGGCTTGGCAGCTTCCATATGACTATTTAACCCCATTACAAGCTGCCGTTGGAGTAGTTCAAAAGGTAAATATCTATTACACTACACTGTTGATTTTCAGGACTACGACCCCAAATATTGGTCTAAGGCACAGAGGACACATAAATTATCTGTCATATTGAGACCTAAAACTTCCATTGACTCTGGTTTCAGGGTCTACGGCCTACCATCCCAAAAAACACTCATCCAAAACTAGCTGAGCTGCTTGAGAGATGCTGGCAGCACGACCCAAATTTAAGACCCGACTTCTCTGAAATAATAGATATCCTGCAGCAAATAGCAAAGGAGGTAACATCTGGTTTTGATTGAAAATATGATTAAACTCGTTTTCTTTCTTGTGAATCAATTTTCAATTGTGAGCATTTCTAAACTCCTCAAGTTGGGACAGTTGGCTTTCTGATTTGTCCCCATTGTTTCGTATATTTTATTAAGAATGAGTAAACCTGTTTTCTATTCTCGGTAATCAATTATCAATCGTTAACATTTCTTAATGTACTCCATGAAATACGATTGAAAATTTCCTATCTGCATTAAACTTTCTGTCATCTATTTGACACCGAAGTATGTGGAATAGGTTGGAGATGATGGAGAGGATCGACGCAAAGAGAAATCATCTGGTGGATTTTTTTCGGCCCTTAGATGGGGACATCAATGAAGTGAGGAGAGATACACAATGTTCATAACATGAGCTAATTGAGGGCCATTTCCCACCTAGTTATTCATCTGTGTTGTACAGTATTTGTTTACTAGTTCAACATTCCAATGGTTCTTTCTATTTTCATTTTCATTCCAAGATAATATATATAGCATTCCATGTTTTTAGATTTTCCCATCATAGCATAAATTTCTGAGGGGGCAGTAGTATTGATGAGTAATGTAACTTTGCAATATTGTTGCTATTGTAGCATAACAGTTGTGATGAAATTTTGTTTCAATATCAATACTATTTGTGACTATTACATTGTTTATATTATGAATATCACGTAGACAATTAATATTACATATTATTATTAAATTTCTAGATAATTACCAACTCATGTGTTATAGAAGCTCAAGATGTTTGTAAAGGCTGATTTTGTACTAATGTTCTAGTGATATGGCGACAAAATGCTCGAGAAAGGGCAATGCTATATATAAACATATTATTTATCAAATGTTCATTATACAAAGTTTGTGTAGTTCAACTTCATATTAATAACTATATAGGGAACTCATATTTTGTGTTTTATATGTATGTTTTTATTACATTAATATACTTGAGAAGTATGTAAGAAAATAAGATAAAATTGTGCATATTTTTTGTCACATTGTTTGGAGAGTAACTATTTTAGTCAAAAAGTCACTATAAGTTATCAGCAGTGCTACGTAGCTCGAAAGCTATGTAGCTCGAATCCCTCTAATAAAAAACGACGCCGTTTTTGCTTTTTTTTTTTTTTTTTTTTTTTTTGCAGATTAGAAGAACGAACGAAGAAGAAGAAGGAAGAAGGAAGAAAGGAGGAGGAGGAGGAGGGACTGGAGGGGGCATAATATTCGGAGGAGGAGGAGGCGGAGGCAGAGGCGGGGCGACAGCGGTCGGAGGCTGCGACGAGCTGCAGCGGGGCTGCGACGGAGGCACAGGAGGGGACGATCAGCGGCGGAGCTGCTTCTCTCCTCTGCTCTCTCTTTCTCCCTCTCTCCTCCTCTCCTCTTTCTCTCCCTCTTCCTCTGCAGACTGAAAATGGAAGAGAAAAAAGAAAAAAAAGAAAAAGCCTAATGCCCAAAACGACGTCGTTTTGGGCATTAAGGGGATTAGGGATGAAGCATTTTTGAGCTCTCAAACATTATTCATAAGTTATTATATCACTCTTTCTATTTTTTTACACATCTTTTCATAAAAAATTAAAAAATTATTAAAATAATCTATTTCTAAATGATAATTAAGCTGAATGTATGAAATTTAAGTATATTTTTTAATCCTTAATATTATTTACCTTTTTGAATATGATAAGTTTTATATATATACTCTATTTGTATTACATTAATACACATGAGAAAGTAAATAAATAAAACATATATAATAAAATAAAATGATAGGTGAGAAACCAACGGATTGCAAACTATCAATAACCTTCCCCAATTGCAATATTTGATTGGAGACTCCTCACGAAGATTTGTTGCTGTAGCGTAGTCTTCATAGTTCTCGATCGATGATGAAAGATTCGGATCAGAATGCATTGCACAGCTTTCTCGGAGTATCTTTAACAAACACATTTGATACAAAACCTAGCAAAGACATTGTTTGACGAAAGAAGAAGGGCATGGGTCTTGGTTTTCTTCTGTTGAAGCAAGATGTTCATCCTCAAGTCCACCTTTTTCTTCTTCTCCAGGAGGAGACCTCAATCTCAACGGCAGCTCTCTCACCTTTTAATCACAACTTGCATGCAAAACAACCCATCTTGGTCACCTCTACGTTTTACATCAACAACCCAAAACTCTCATGCCCCGGATCTCCGTATACTAAACAAGAAAATCACCCATTTAATCCGAAGTGGACGAGTCGATGATGCTAAACAACTGTTTGACGAAATGACTGAGCGAAATACTGTAACTTGGAATTCGATTATTACGGGTTATGTACAACGTAGAGAGATGACCAAGGCCCGGAAACTGTTCGACGAAATGCCTGAGAGAGATGTTGTGTCGTGGAATTTGATGATATCGGGATATGTGTCATGCCGCGGGAGCAGATATATAGAGGAGGGGAGGTACTTGTTTGACCGAATGCCGGAGAGAGATTTTGTTTCTTGGAATACAATGATTACTGGGTATGCAAGAAATGGGAGGATGGATGAAGCATTTTATCTTTTCAATAGCATGCCTAAAAAGAATGTGGTGTCTTGGAATGCAGTGATTTCTGGTTTTTTACACAATGGTGATGTGAAAATTGCGATTGAGTTATATGAGAGAATGCCTGAGCGTGATGCGGCTTCTCTTAGTGCGCTTGTATCGGGTCTAATTCATAATGGGGAATTAGACAAGGCTGCCATGGTTCTCCTTGGAAGTGGGAAAAGGGATGATGATAGAGAAGATTTAGTTCATGCTTATAACACTTTGATTGCTGGGTATGGTCAAAGAGGAAGGGTTGATGATGCTAGACGCCTTTTTGATCAAATCCCTTTTTCTTCTGATCGCAGAAGAGGAGATGATCGGAGGTTTGAAAGAAATGTGGTGTCATGGAATTCTATGATTATGTGCTATGTGAAAGCGGGGGATATTGTTTCTGCTCAAGAGCTATTTGACCAAATGGTGGACCGAGATACTTTCTCATGGAACACCATGATCAGTGGTTATGTTAACATGTCAGATATGGACGAAGCTTCAAACCTCTTTTGTAAAATGTCAGATCCTGATATACTGTCATGGAATTCAATGATCTCGGGTTTTGCCCATATGGGTAATTTGGAACTTGCTTATGATTTTTTCAGAAGGATGCCACAGAAAAACCTAGTTTCATGGAATTCCATGATATCCGGATATGAGAAAAATGGGGACTGTGAAGGAGCAATTGAACTTTTCATTCAGATGCAAGCTGAGGGAGAGAAACCTGATCGACACACCTTCTCTTCTCTTCTCAGTGTTTGTGCTGAGTCAGTGGCTCTGCAACTGGGTATGCAAATCCATCAGCAGGTCATAAAGATGGTTGTCCCAGATGTTCCGTTAAATAACTCCCTGATTACTATGTACGCAAGATGTGGAGCCATTATCGAGGCAAGGGCCATTTTTGATGAGATGAAATTGCAGAAAGATGTAATCTCTTGGAATGCAATGATTGGGGGATATGCATCCCATGGATTTTCTGCAGAGGCTCTAGAATTTTTTGGAGTGATGAAGAAGCTTAAAGTTCGGCCAACTTATATTACATTCATTTCAGTTTTGAATGCATGTGCTCATGCTGGACTAGTGGAAGAAGGCCAGATGCATTTCAGGTCCATGGTGAGTGAATTTGGTATTGAACCACGAGTGGAACATTTTGCCTCCCTTGTGGATATCGTGGGTCGTCATGGGCAGGTTGAAGAGGCCATGGCTCTGATTAATAATATGCCATTTGAGCCAGATAAAGCTGTGTGGGGTGCATTATTGGGTGCTTGTAGGGTGCATAACAATGTGGAGTTAGCCCGAGTTGCAGCTGAAGCATTGACGAGGCTCGAACCAGAAAGCTCAGCCCCCTATGTGTTGCTGTATAATATGTATGCTGACGTTGGGCGATGGGATGATGCAACTGAAGTGAGGATGGTGATGGAGAGAAATAAAATTAGAAAGCAACCAGGGTATAGTTGGGCAGATTCCTCCTCGTGATTGAAGGTATTTATGCACTAATGGGAAGTTGCAATCAAGTTCTTACATATTTAATATTTCATTCAAATTGTTGCTAATTTAGTGACAGAACACATGAGATCATCAGAGCGTAGGGGGAACGCTGTTCAATGGGGAACGTGGAGCAATGCAGTTCAGGTGCTGTTGAGGCACAATGAGCATTTGTGACTTGGGCTTTCTGTGGTTGGAGCTGTGTCTGATACGTTTTTGAAACCCACTGCACATCCAATCTTTATTTGGGTGATTTATCCATGTTGACTCATTGCAGCTGGACGCTAAGATAAAATTAGATGGATATGTTATTATCTATAATGTGAAATCCAGTTTATCGGGGATGGAAGTGTGTATGACTAGGGATTTTGAGTTGCTATGCAGAAGCAGTCTTGGCAAACTATCGTCTAACTTCTCCTATAGCTCAACACAAGAATGTTGAACAAGTCACAGGCGCATGCATGAAACCTCCAAGCTTGTGCATTGTTACAGGTATATTCTAAATTTTCAATTTTTTCCTTATCTGCTTTTGGAGTCTTATCTTATTGTTAACACACTATCAGTTACTTTTTCCATTTTTTTTTTTTTATTTTTTATTTTGAGTGCAGAATTTATGTCTGGTAGAAGTGTGTATGACTATCTCCACAAACAAAAGGGTACATTTAAACTACCATCTTTACTAAGAGTAGCAATTGATAAATCGAGGGGTATGCACTACATACACCAAAACAGTATAATTCACAAAGACTTGAAGGCTGCCAATCTTCTGATGGATGGAAATGAAGTAATATGAACCTAGTTTGTTTGCTGTGGACCTTTGACTTTTTTGGCATTTGCTTATGATTGTTCTTTTGAATAGACGTTTATAGAACACAAGCCCTACGATCACAAGGCGATGAAGGAGAGGATAGACACGGTGAAATCATGGTGGATTTCTTTTGGTCCTTGGACGGGGACAACACTAAAGTGAGGGTTCACAATTTTGGAGTGAATTTGTCACCTCTGTATGTAATTGGGTACTAAATTTAACCGATGTTTAATCATAAATTAGTTTCATCATACATGTAGAGGAATGTTATTTTTTTACCTTTCATATTGGAATCAATAAACTGCAGATATCTATAATCATTCATAATTCACATGTATTGATTAACAAGAGTCAAACTTAAATGTTTAAAGTCAATTGCTAGCTTAAAAAAGAAAACAAAAATGGAGTTGTGCAACAAACACAAAATTAATTTACAGAAACAATCTCAGACAAAACACAAAAAGAGTGGTATTCTGAACTATTTTTATGCACATAATTTTTCCCAACAGTTTAGCTACATATGATATCACCATAAAGAGAGAAATTATTATATATTACAAAAATGGCAACATCCACCATAATCGAGATATTTTTCATTTGAAATTAATATATGTTTTAATATTTTCACATATTTTAAAGATAGAGTTTTGTCTTCATTAATCTTCTGATGGATGGAAATGAAGTAATATGAACCTAGTTTGTTTGCTGTGGACCTTTGACTTTTTTGGCATTTGCTTATGATTGTTCTTTTGAATAGACGTTTATAGAACACAAGCCCTACGATCACAAGGCGATGAAGGAGAGGATAGACACGGTGAAATCATGGTGGATTTCTTTTGGTCCTTGGACGGGGACAACACTAAAGTGAGGGTTCACAATTTTGGAGTGAATTTGTCACCTCTGTATGTAATTGGGTACTAAATTTAACCGATGTTTAATCATAAATTAGTTTCATCATACATGTAGAGGAATGTTATTTTTTTACCTTTCATATTGGAATCAATAAACTGCAGATATCTATAATCATTCATAATTCACATGTATTGATTAACAAGAGTCAAACTTAAATGTTTAAAATCAATTGCAAGCTTAAAAAAGAAAACAAAAATGGAGTTGTGCAACAAACACAAAATTAATTTACAGAAACAATCTCAGACAAAACACAAAAAGAGTGGTATTGTGAACTATTTTTATGCACATAATTTTTCCCAACAGTTTAGCTACATATGATATCACCATAAAGAGAGAAATTATTATATATTACAAAAACGGCAACATCCACCATAATCGAGATATTTTTCATTTGAAATTAATATATGTTTTAATATTTTCACATATTTTAAAGATAGAGTTTTATCTTCATTTCAATATTGAACAATGGTAGGGGAGTACTCTTTTTCTAACAGGTAAATACACTTTTTACTAAAATAAATATACTTTTTAACCTTTATCAAAAAAAAATATTTTTAATAATTTTTAAAATATTTAAACCTTATTTTATTTTATTCACAATATTAAACAATGTCAAAAGACTCTCACACTTTGACATTTGTCTTTGAATATTGCAATAGTAACACCATAATGTTTTAATAAATGTAAGTCCACTCAAAAAGCATTAACTCAAAGATATTATACTGATTAGATTATCGATATCTCTTATCGTCAATATACATATAATTATATGCATTAGAGTCAACAAATATACAATTTGATAATTAGAGCACTAATATTTTAGGAGCTCGGTGTTTTGCTTTGTGGCATTTCCCAATAAAATAATTTAGTTTCTAGAAGAAAGTAAAAAAAAAATAATTTGTTTAGTGTTGATATATAGTTAACACCAAATAAATATAATTTGTGTAAACTATTTGGTCCCACCCTATAATTTGTGTGAACTATTTGGTCCCACTCTCCACTCCACTGAGTCTCATGATTGACTCATACAATACAAGCACTCAAAAGAAAGTTAATCCTCCATTACATGCGCGTCAACACTATATTATATATATCACTTCGACGACAACGATGAAGATCACAAACCACCACAGAGAAGTCATCATGGTCGACAGCAGGGATTTCACCGTGAACATTGACGGCGGCGAGGACGTGGACGCCGGAGTGCGTCCCGCAGGTGATGGGAACAAGATTTGGCGGGAAACAAGCTACGATTTCAATCCCAACAACCACCACAATAATCGAGTTTCAAAGTTTTCTTTTCTATCACAGTCCTCGAATGTGGATGATATCGATTACGAAGAAACATCCAAGCACGGTGAAGTAGGAGAAGAAGAAGAAATGGGTTCAAAAGAGTTTCGAAATTCTCTGCGGCGGCCGAGTTTTTCTCCGGCCGTCGCTAACGGCGGAGGAGAGGTGGTGAGGTGTGCGTCATACCAGAGGAGACACAGCATGCTGAGGACAAAGACGAAGTCCAGATTGATAGACCCGGATCCGGAACCAAGAACTCGAAAAGCTGTGAAGTTGGGAAAATTGCGGTCTGGGTTGCTAGGGAGGGCCACCGGGATGTTAGCGAAAGGAACAGAGGAAGAAGAGGATGACCCATTGTTCGATGAAGACATTCCAGACGAGTACAAGAGAACCAATGTCAATGCATTCACTATAGTCCAATGGGTTAGTCTTGTTTTGATTGTTGGAGCTCTGATTTGCAGCCTTTCGGTTCCAAAGTTGAAAGGTCGCAAACTCAGAGGACTCCTATGGTGGAAATGGGAGGTTTTGGTTCTGGTTTTGATATGTGGTAGGTTGGTCTCTGGTTGGGGGGTTAGAATTCTAGTTTTCTTCATCGACCGCAATTTTCTTCTGCGAAAAAGGGTTCTGTATTTCGTGTATGGAGTGAGGGAGGCGGTTCAGAATTGTATCTGGTTGGGTTTGGTTTTGATTGGTTGGCATTACCTGTTTCATAAAACGGTTGAGAGACAGACAAACATCAAGTTTCTTCTGTTTGTGAATAAGGTTCTGGTTTCTTTCTTGGTTGCCGCAGTGTTATGGCTTGTGAAGACCCTTGTGGTTAAGATCCTTGCGTCTTCCTTCCACGTGAGCACGTTCTTTGATCGAATTCAGGAGTCAGTGTTCAATCAATATGTGATTGAAACGCTGTCTGGTCTGCCTTCGATTGAAATAAAGAACATTGAGGAAGATGAGGAGAGGACAACGGCTGAGGTTTGGAAGCATGAAAAACCGCAGAGAACTTCAAGCCAAAAGTTTTCTAGGGAATCTTCCGAAAAGCAAGGCGAGGGGATACTAATTGATCATTTGCATAAGCTGAAGCCTAAAAATATCTCTGCTTGGAATATGAAGAGATTGATTAGAATTGTTCGTCATGGGGAGTTGTCTATGCTGGATAAGCAGATACTAGAATCAACTAATGGTGATGAGCCTATCACGCAGATTAGAAGCGAATCAGAGGCAAAAGTTGCAGCGAGGAAGATCTTCCAAAATGTGGTTAAGAGGGGTTCCAGGTATGTGCTTATTTTTTCTACTTGTTGCATTCCATTTTTGCATCTGTGCTACCCCATGAGTAGATTATTAACGCAAGAATAGTTAATTCACATTAGATGTAGCAAAATTTGTGAGTGTATGAATGCAATCTCAACAAACCGAACTTCTACAAAACTTTGTCCTGACTATATGGTTGTCTACATGAATCCATTATAGACCCTTTCACTGTATCAGGAGCCATATCTTCAAGTTAGCTGTATGTTTGCATTGTCAACATATTCATGTGTCAATTCAGTTGTGAGATTAGACTTTATTAAAGATTAAGTGGAATGTAGACTATCCACCCAAAAAAAGTTGAATCTAGACAGCACAAAAGAATTATGTATATGGAAGTGTCATATGTGCTTAAGGATATGTGACTCGACAAATGGAGGTGGTTGTAAGTAGGCACGCACACACACAAACAAAGAGAGAGAGAGAGAGAGAGCTGGCAATTAGAATTGAAACATGAACACAAAGGTCACAACCTATGAAGCACGGATACTTAAGTAGGAAGACGTATCCGTATCGTATCCGTATCGGATACCGATACTCCTTGGATACTTACGGATACGTATCAAATACGTATTAAAAGTATCGGATACTTCTTAATTAATTTTTCATTAATTTTGAAGTATCGGATACTTAGTTTTGAAGTATCGGATGCTCCAAGTCACATATTATCGGTTACTTTTGAAGTATCAAATGCTATAAGTCACATATTACTCCTTTTACGAAATTAGAATTGTATCATTTCTTGCATAACATCATAATATAATATAATTGCGAGGATAAATAGAATATTTTTATAATACTTTGCTTAGTTTTTTTTTATAAAAATAACATAGTAAGCTAAAGTAATAGAATTCATTAAATTGACATATCTTCATTGTATCATGCATGTCCCCTATAACTACATAGAAGTAAGGATTAATAAGATAATATAACAATAGTAAAATTAAATATTAATAAATAAATAAGCAAATAAACTTGCATATAATATTTTTGACTAGTGCAAAAGGAAAAAGCATAGGGTCAAGTTGTGGATTGTTTTGATATTATAATATCAACATATTAAACTTGATATTGAAATGAAATATTTGCAAGACTTATTGAAAATTTAAAAACTAAACTAGCTACTGCCTTAAATTAATATATAATTCTTAAAGATTAGTATGTTGCATCATAAAGTTACTGTGGTTTCTCAACATTCTTGAGTTTATGTGTAACTCACTGCTAATAATTATTTATTTGTTATTTTTTACAAACGTATCCTAGTCGTACCCGTATTCTACTTTTTAAGATTTTGTTGTATCGCCGTATCCGTATCGTATCATATCCTTACCTCGTATTCGTACCCGTGCTTTCTAGGTCACAACTATGTTGGCTGAATAACTAGAGACTGATTTAGTATACCAAACCAAACTGGGCCTTGTGTTCCAGTCAAATGGGATCGGCAACATGAATTTTTTTTCTCAATTCTTCTCCATCAAGGTCTATATGCTAGAGTACTGGTTTAGTATGGTTACTTTTGATTTTTGAAATTTGCATATATGAAGTACCTCACGTGGTCTAGGTTTCACATTAGTTTTCTTGAGTTTTTATGGACCTTAAAAATGCTTCAGTAAAGGATTGTTTTCACAAGTCATGGTTTGGACATTGAAGTACAATAGTGACTGCTCACAATCTCACAATTGATTCTAGTTCATTTGTAATGGAGCTGTTCGTTGTCAAAAGAACACCGAAGGTTATAGTATTAACAATTGATTTGTTGAAAGATGTGAAAAAGGGTTTTCTTGACTAAAGGCAGGGGTGAGCTTTCTCAGAGTAATGACCACTTTGAAGAATGAACCAATGACAATAAAGGATGATAAGAAGGGCCACATAATTAGAGTTACGAAGAAGTTTAAATTCTGATAGCAATTTTGGAAGAATATTAACTGTTAATGTTGGCAAAACTTATCCAATGGTGTGAATTTTAGTATGACAAAGTCCTTTTGTTGAGTGAAGATTTAGTTCCACATCATGGAGGATCTTGAATATTTTTTTCTGGCAGGTTCATCTACCTAGAAGATGTGCTGCGTTTCATGTTAGAAGATGAGGCTTTGAAGACCATGAGTCTTTTGGGAGGCTCACCTGAAAGTGAAAAAATAAGCCAGTCTTCTCTGAAGAACTGGGTGGTAAGAACTTGGCAATAGATGGTGCATTTATTTGTGTAAAATTATTTTCTTCTTTATTTAGTTTAACTGTTGTGATTAATTAATTGTGTAAAAGTGTTTCATTTATTTATTTTAACAAGGAGTATTGTCATCAGCTTACATATTGTTTGCCTTTAAAACTATCATGCAAATATGATAATGTGTTATGCCTGATTCTTTTAGGTTAATGCTTTTAGAGAACGAAGAGCGCTTGCCTTGACACTTAATGATACAAAAACTGCTGTCAACAAACTTCATCATATGGTGAATGTACTAGTTGTCATCGTTATAGCGGTTGTTTCTCTCTTCATACTAGGAATTGCAACCAGCAGATTTCTATTCCTCATAAGCTCTCAGATTGTCGTTGTGGCATTCATATTTGGAAACTCGTGCAAGACTGTATTTGAAGCCATTGTCTTTTTATTTGTGATGCACCCATATGATGTAGGTGATCAGTGTGAGATTGATGGAGTTCAGGTATGATAATCATATTTTATTTGAAATTGTGCTTATGTGCCTTCTTTTACATTTCCCTTTATTCAATTTCGACTTTTGATATGTACTATGCCTTGACTTTCAGATGGTAGTTGAAGAGATGAATATCTTGACTACCATTTTTCTGAGATTAGACAACCAAAAGATTATATATCCGAATAGCATTCTTTCTACAAAGCCTATCAGTAACTACTATCGTAGTTCAGACATGGGCGATTCAATTGATTTCTGTGTCCATATTGCAACTCCAATAGAGAAGATTGCTATCATTAGGCAAAGAATAATAAGGTATAGAAAGGCAATCTCCCCCCTCTTTTTCAGCATGCTCTCTTTTTCTTCTTCCTTTTAGTATTATTCTTTTTACTAGTGCAAGTGCGGTTTTGATCACATAATATGAATAGTAAGAGTAAGATCTCTTTTGGTTGCAGCTTATAAATTTTGTATTTTTAGGCTGATTTTGATTTTTAGCAAAGTTTTTTCAATGCAGCAGTTTTAGCCTAAAAGTCAAAAAGTGTCTAAAAAATCAAAAAGTCTATAACTTATACCAAAAAGTCAAAGATTTCTTTTTCTCTTTACTTTTTGCACATCTTTTCATAAAAAATCAAAAATTTATTCCAAACATACTAATTTTTTTTACCTCATATTTTAGCCAAAAAACTAAAAAGTTACTAAAATAGCCTTCTCCCAAACGAAGTTGTCCAACTATTTTACTTTTTCGCT